GTTACTGTTCACCTGAACACCTGTTTGATTTCTGATGGTGCGCCATCCATAAGTTGTCACGTGGAAAAACCCGCTTATGACCGATGAAGTTTAACTTAATGAAATGGAACTTCAATAGCTTTTAATTATTAAATGAGCGGTTAAAAGATCAAAGTCGAAACATAAGGTTAAAAGTAAACTAAAACATATCTACAATTTAAGAATAACATTCTTAATCAGCTAGCTTAAAATACCCCAACATAAATACGAAAAAAATATTCCGTCAGTCACAAATACGAAAAGCAAAATACCGATTTTCACAATTCCGAATGGTTCAACATTCCTAATATAACAAACAACTCCGATTGATCATTCATCCTATTTTTGTTATTCAAAAATTTCAAAGTTCCTAACGTTTATAATTACTATGCTTGAAATACTGACTTTCAATAGATCGAATAACAAAAAGTCCGACTTAATGATTATTCGAATCTTTAAAAATTAGTATTCCTTCTAATGTTTTTTCAAATAAAAATATTTTCATTCGCTGGTCACAGTTCTAACCTAAACCAACAGATTTAAAAACAATAGAGAGGATCTGGCTTTAACAGTCACAGTTCTGACCTAACCTAATCCAAACAAGTCAATGACAGTAGATGGTACCTTACGCTTTATCCGAATCGACGATATATACTCGTATATCACAAGGAGAAGAAGAAAACACAAAAAATCTATTAACACACAAATATTAAAAACAAAATAGACGTTTTTAAATTACATTACACATTACTTATACATTTTTAATATATATGCGTAACTGAATATTATATAACTGAATCGGAATTTGAATCCTAATTTTAGCTGTTTATTCGAAGTATTGAAAATCGGAATGTCGTTTTGGACCGAGATGCCATCGAGCATTTGATTCTTCGAACGTGTTAAATTCGGCAAACAAACAAATCACACGACTGTCGGTAATTTAAATTTCGTGAATTTTAAAGGTTGGCTGGTAGAGAATGCCATGAACATTAAGACCGCCAAAGTACACAAGTGTAAATACACAAACAGAAAGATTTACTTTCCTGTAATACCGCCGGTAAAAAATATGTTTTACATTACAGTATGCGGTTTTTGCACTCCTCATACGAATAAATATAAGTTCCGTGTTGCGTTCATTTGTGCACACGATTGATTACGTTTGGAAAATCGTATCAATAAAATTAGTTCGCATACTCATAGATAATTGTTTATATGTCATTACATAACAAGATACTAAACATAAACATACATATTTACTGAATCATCGAGGAATCACCTTATACTGTACGGGGTGTACAATTGGAAAATGGGTACAAAAATATTACTCGGTTAGCAAATCAATACACACTATATTTGCTGGTACGAGTAATGTACATCATGCATCGTAATATGGACCTTATCTATATCCACATAAAAATACATTAAGACTTTACTTTATTGACCATGGTTTAGTGTTTCCTAACATATTTCAGAAGCAAAAACTACTAAAATTCGTCAATAAAGTTTATAGGAGGGAAGTACATATATAATAGTAGTTAATTTAAAGTGAACTTACGCATCTTAGTGGTATTCATTTTGAATTATTTTCTCAACGACGTCTTCTCAGTGTGATCTCCAAATAGTCAACGAGTTTATCACGATAATATCATCAGTCGATGTGCTATCGGTTGATTTATTCACGACATTATCTACAAGATAACTGATCCTAAGCCACCTGTTTCTTTTCCGCGGTAATAACCTTAGGGCTTAAAGGTTGGTTTCAACACGGATTTTATTATTAATCGATATACAATTTTCAAACAATAGTAACTTAACAATTAACGTGGTAGTAAGAGCAGATTACGACACGTCTGCTTGGCATTTTCATTTACTATTTGAGTGATAGGTTTCTCATCTCAAAAATAAACTTTATTCCTCTTTGTCATGAGAGATATCTACAGAGGGATAGCTATATATAGGCACAAATGGAAGGACTCGACCGAAATGATACCACCACGGCCTCACAGAAAACCAGTACAAATTATTTTTTCGTTGCTTTGCAAAAGCCCTTGATTCTGGAGGAGAGGGACTCAAAAGGCAGCAACGCACCTGTGACTCTTGAGTAACAAGTATCCATGGGCGGCGTATAGTCACACAACTGTGACCCAACAGCTCGTTTTCCCTCTCTACCATAATAAATAAAGAATTAATTCAAGTACCCATCTGACTAAAATTACCAGTATAAGTAGAATACATAATCAGGTCAAAATTAATATCATATATTAAATAAGTAATTAAAAAAAACCGCCTTATATTTTCGATATATTTTCTTGATTCCTTAACACACCAAGGAAAAACACTCACGTACATACGCGAAGCCATTAGGTTACGGTTTTATTTCCGTATGCTAAAACTCTGAGAGAAGTTAGAGATGCACTTTAGTACGCAATGGATGAGTGTGCATGTGAACACACCATAATTGCGGGAGTCCATTACAATAAGTGGAGGAAGTAAAACCAGAAACCACCCTGAGCTTAATAGCGTTTAGGTTTAGTACCATTCCATTATTGCGTATGCATAAGTTTTCTTATTGATTAGTAGTAGTTTAAAGACATACTTGAACCTACAGGATCATTACAGGGTTATTTTTTTGCCTGGCAATTTGGAGTATGTCATGCTATGCTATGAAGCAGTCTTGTAGTCTACAAGGCTTCTTTCACTATTATTGATATGTACGATCTCTGATATGTGCATTATGCCTGCCTAAAAAAGAGGTACCTTGGAGTTTCTTGCCTATTTTTCTAATTAGAACCAAATTATTGAAGCAGACAACTAGCTTCACGCCTGGCTTATTTTGACTGATTCCTACTCAAGCCAATTCAAAATAATGTTGATATATTTCTATGTCAAAAAACTATGTACCCACTATTATAAGTACCAATTTATAGTTGCGGACTTTTTGTTAAATCAAAATAACATTTTCTTCCACAATTAATGTTATTACACAATTAAATTAGTCAAGACTTTCTAATAACACACCTAGGTAGATACCCATGGCCTATACTAGTACCTGCTTGCTATTAGTACTAGAAGCGAAATCTTGAAAGGGTCGGCACCATAATAATTATAAACTTGTAATTGTGAACCTCTTCATCTGTTTTAAAATGCCAAGTGAAAATCAGAATAATCTAAAGATGTTAGGGAATGATCTTCAAAACAGACCATAGTACTAATGGCCAAGAAAACGATCCCAAAGAGAGCACGCACGTGCTGTCTCACCGAACGTTAGTTCAAGCATCAATCTAATACAACTGATGTAATATTTTATTAAATTTTGTAACATATATTGCGCCCTATTTTTTAGTAAAGTGATATTTTGTTTATGAAATTATCTAGTTTCATTTTGCTGAATAACAAAATGTACATATTTAAAGTCTTGATTAGTTTCATGTAAACTCAATTATTTTATATTATTGTAACTACGTAGAAATATTACTACTTCAAAAAACACACATTTTAAAAACATTTTTACGCCAAGGTCAGTCAATGGCATCGGAATAATTAAATGAAAGTTATTTGATATCAAAAGCTTTTCCATTCTTGATTGATGCTAAATATTTATTTAATATTTCTTTATTTTCAAACCTACATCATAATTTCAACATCGGGCAAGACCACACTTTAAGGTATAATAAACTGTGTATTGGATAGCCAATACCCGATGCATATCCTATTAATATTTCAAACAAAATCGATGTTAAACCAAGTCTTTGCTACTTCGCGGGTTTATTGTCTCGTGTTCCTTTACTGTAGCAGGTACTGTTACCTCTTTTTTTTAAACACATTTAAGATATTTTGTGAGGGAAATGCGGGGGAATCATACTTCGGTGCAAATGGGTGTGATATAGGAGTGATAGCACGGCCTCACATAAAACCGATGTATTAAGCAATTTTTGAAGTAAAAACTTCTTTGTGCATTGGGCATTTTTGAACAAAAAACAAAATAATGTATTTTTTGAGATAATAATAATAATTACTTCACATCTCACAAACTGTGTGTCTGTTCCCAAGCTAGACAGAGCCTGTACTATGGTAACCAAACTGCTGATAAACATACTTTTATATTTCTAAATACATACATATTATAGATAAATTACACCCAGACACAGAGCAGTGTCATCCGCGTAAGAGAAGATGTTCCCGGCCTCGATTCTTTTTTCTTTTTTATTTATTTCATGCTTTATTTACAAGAAAAATTTACAAAGGTAGACTTGATGCCGTATGCATTCTCTCCCAGTCTACCTTAGGGTGGTATAGAAATTAGTGATTAGGTGCACTAAAATTGGGTAAATATACAAGACTTGACCAAGAAATACGTTTACACGAAAAGCGAAAAAAAAATGAGGACAGGAGGAAATATATAAATTTATAATATAGAATATACTATCCGATTGAATCATCATCATCAACAGCCTTTAATAATCCACTGCTGGACATAAGCCTCTCCTTAGAAAGGAGGTTTTGGTCTACTATACCACGCTGGCCAGACAGGTTGGTATAGGGTTTGTGTCAAGTTTTCCTTCTCTCTGCAGTGCTGTTGTTCTGCGTAGTTTGCTCCCTTAGTCGCCTCTTACGACGCCCACGGGATGAATAGGGGTGGTGACACTCTGTATTCTTAATCCGTCACCACACGGACTCTAATTACAGTATTATCGGTAAGATAATACAGCAAATAGTAGGATAAAATGAAAAATACGTTATACCAAACCGTCTGGCCAGAGTAGTATATCAGACCAAAACCTGATTTCTAAGGGGAGGCCTATGTCCAGCAATGAACTATTAAAGGTTGTTGATGAATGATGATGATGATAGTGACGAATCATTTTAGTACCTTAAATAAAACAAAATAACCAAGATATAATTATTTATTCTAGAACATGTACACAATACTGCTCTTAAATCGATTAAAATTATAAAAGGCGTAGCTTTGTAAATTCATTAATCTATTTAAAGATAAACACTTTTCTATCATTAAGTGGTTGGGGAAAACGTGAGAACCGTCTTCTTGGAATTGGCTCTGAACTCACAATTGCTTCCATTGTATCAATGAATTCCTGTAACAGATTTATTATTAATTAAAAATAGTTTCAAAACTAACGGCACAAAAAGAAAATATTTATAAATACAACATAGTTGTAGTACACACTTTAAAAACAAATGCTCTTAATAGAGTAGAGGTTATATTAACCCGTGTTCAGGTGTAGTAATAAATCCTTTTAAAAAAAATTGAACCGACTTCAAACAATATTGACAAATAGCACTAAAAACTAAAGAATAATTACAAATCTAAGTAAAAAACTAAAATAAGTGCGGCCCTCAATATAACAGTTAACATTATAATAGCATAGTCCCTTCTAGTCTGTTTGAAGTTGGTGCCAAGTCAAATAGGTGCTTGAGGTTTAGTGTAAGATATGTTTGTAATTAGTAGATAAGTACGAAATCTTTCGTACTGACCCTGCTAAGGTTGAAGCCATCTTGAATTTCCCCACCCCCACAACTAAAAAAGAAGTTAAAAGATTCCTAGGAACGGCATCCTGGTACAGACGCTTTGTGCCGAACTTCAGTACTATAGCTGGTCCGCTTAACGGACTCACTTCTAGTGGAAAAAAGGCACGCTCTTTTGAGTGGACCCCTGAAGCCGACACGGCTTTTCATACCCTTAAGTCGTATTTAGTAAATGCACCAATTTTGGCTTGCCCTAACTTCAATTACAGTTTTGACGTCCACACAGACGCGAGTGCTTTCGGTGTTGGAGGTATGCTTTCACAAACCATCAATGGCGAGGAGCACCCAATAGCGTATATGAGCAGATCCCTCACTGGGGCTGAACGTAATTATAGTGTTACCGAAAGGGAGGCTCTCGCTGTATTAGTCGCGTTAGAGCACTGGCGGTGTTATCTGGAAAACGGCAAAGTTTTTACGGTCTACACTGACCATTCCGCGCTTAAATGGTTTTTATCCCTGACTAACCCTACGGGACGCCTCGCTCGTTGGGGTGTAAGACTATCGTCATTTGATTTTATAGTAAAGCACCGTCGAGGCAAGGACAATATTATACCGGATGCCTTGTCTAGATGCATACAAGTTGCTACCTTAAATACACCAATCGTGACAACAGCTAACACCTCTGATACTTGGTACCTTAATATTTATTATGGGTGCATTAGTTCTCCATCTAATTACCCTAACTATAAAATTGAAGGGAATATACTTTATCGTTACATGAAGAGTAAAAATCGGCTCACATCAGAATTTAGCTGGAAGGAAGTTATACCAAGAGAGTCACGACACGATGTTATTAATAATAATCACTCGAATCTTACGGCGGCTCACTTAGGGATCTTCAAGACTTATAGACGGCTTCTTTTAAAGTATTACTGGCCAGGCATGTATGCAGATGTAGTAAAGTTCGTTGGCGACTGTAGCACTTGCTTAGCTTATAAGCATCCCGCTCATACTACCTTAGGAAAAATGGGCAGACCAAAAGACTGCTCACGCCCGTTTCAAATGCTTTCCATAGACTTGGTCGGACCTTTACCTACTAGTAGAAAACAGAACAATTATATCTTCGTTGTTAATTGCTGTTTCTCTAAATATTGCTTAATATTCCCACTACGACAAGCCACTGCAGCAGCTGTCTGTAAACACCTTGAGTATAACGTGTTTTTAGTTCATGGTATTCCTCAAACCATTATTATGGATAATGGCACACAGTTCGCAGGCCGCGAAATGGAAGCACTCTTAAATAAGTACAAAATACCTAACGCGCAATTTACCCCTAAATATACTCCTCAAGTTAATAACGTTGAGAGGTATAATAGGACTATAATCACATCAATATCAACTTTTGTGAATGATGATCATCGAACTTGGGACCTACACCTACCGGAGATTCAATTCGCCATTAATAATTCTGTGAACGAAGTAACAGGTTTCACTCCCTCTTTCTTGGTGCATGGTAGGGAGGTAGTCACTTGTGGTTCTCACTATGTTGATAACGATAATAGTAATGAGATTTTGTTCTTGCCACGTGATATTTATGCCGAAAATCTTGGCTACTTAGCCGAAATATTTAATAAAGTACAGGTTTCCCTTTGGAATAACTACCAAAAATCGTGTCAACGTTACAACTTGCGTCGTAAACACGTCGAATTTAATGTGGGAGACGAAGTGTGGAAGCGCTGTTTCTTCCAAAGTGATAAAGGTGCACGTTTTAGTAAAAAGCTGGCACCCAAGTTCGAAAAATGCAGAGTAACAGAGAAAAGGTCGCCACTAGTCTATGTATTAGAGGACATGAATGGCCGCAACTTGGGAGCTTGGCATGTTAAAGACCTAAAGTTAAAACTAATGTCCTCGTAATCCTCATAATATATGTATTAGTCGTTAGGTGTGTTTTGGATTTTTCTGTCCCGGAAAAATCCTTCGCTGGGAAGGGGGGTACTGTTACAATGCTATGCATTAATGTTTCAGTTATTCACTTACGAGCTTGATCCCATAACTTATAGCTAATTAATTTTAAATCCTAAATAAAACTTAAACCTAGTCTTAAAATTAGACACTAAATACAATTATTAAAATATTATTTTACAAACAAACTGTCAGTGGCTCCATTACTTCAATATAGTGAAACCGGCCGCCGCACTCGCGATGGCGGGGCGTGGGCGCCGGGCGGGGGGAACGGTGAAAGTGAAGGGAGTCCGCGAGCTCTGTGCGCGCGACGAGAAACATTCTACGCATCGTTGTCTTGCTGTGAGCTTGTTAGAAATACGTACTCGACAACCGGATTCAAGTTCCGTTAATTTTATTATTCAGTTATTATTTTCCTGCTACCGTCTCAACTAAAAATTGTAAATATAAAACTAAAACACTAGTGAATATTATAAACCCCGTGTCTGGGTAAGTTGTGCTTTTATTACCTTTATCATACCACATATGTAATAGTTACCGCTATCATTCAAAATGTAATTAGCCGTAGGTAGTTACCATCTAAACCTATGTATTATTAGTGCTTGGTTATTGTTTCTACACATGAATAAAAGCGCACCATCACCTGCATTATGTTGCTGTGCCTACCTACATACATGCTTAATAACTTAATAATGTGTTTTTGCCTTTTATTTGTTCTTTTATTTTCAATTGTTCTTATTATGTTTTTTTCTTATTTTTAATTTCTCTTAGTCCTTCCGCTTGCTTTAAACCGTGACTGCCGCACCTTAGAAATCTATTTTCTGCATAATGTGAGAGAATCAGTCGCTTACCATTGTGTACCCTTATGCTGCAGTCACGGTGCGAATTTGGACAGAGTGTTAATGTTCCACCCAAACCTGATTTCAGGGTTTTAAGTTCACCCTTGGTGATTATCATCGGCTGATTTCGGCCTATCCTAGTTCCGGCCAACGCCACAGGGTCAACGGATTATTGGCTGTACCACATCACTCGAAGCTTGTTGGCTGATCGCTAAGGACTACCCAGGGAAGCGTAAGATTCCGCGCGTCAGTGCAGATAGGGGCTTGGGTAACGAACCCACCTAATTCTACCCACATAAAAAAATAAATTAATTTTCTTTTAAAACTAATTGTTAGTTTTTTTTTTATTTTTGTTCTACGAAGTAGTGTAATTATGTACATCTAGATGTAACATGAAACTAAAAACACAACGTACTGTAATCTATATTTTCAAACTGTAGTATGTTAGATTATATTAAATGAAGTTTAATAAGTCTGTTTCTTTATTTAAATAAGGTAGCAAGATTTGAATGTAAAGGAAAATCTACCCTTTTAATAAAAAAAAGAATTTTCTAAATCGGTATACAAATAAAAGAGTTTTGAGGTAACAAACATGTAAAAAATTGCGTAACAAACTTTCTTTTTTTATCTAAATGTTTTGTAATCTCATATACTCTCTTGTGCACATATCTCTCAACCCAATAGAACACACCAACACCTAACAAATATTTTGAAAGAACCAGTTCAAAACATAATTAAATTTTTAAAAGAGCTATGCCCTAACATCTGAAGGTCAAGGCCCTTCCATCATCATCTCAGCAATATAACATAACGACTACTAAACGCAAGTACCTATATAGCTAGAGAAACAAGCTAAACGCGATGTCGGGGCTGTTAAATTTGAGGGCTTACCTCGATTTCTCTACGATCCCATCATCAAATCCTGATTTGGTGGTAATGCAACCACCTCGGGAGTATACCCTTTGGATTACAAAAATAATTTTGAAAATAGGTGCACAATTGACCGGTGGACCGGATTGAGGTGTCGAATTAAAATAACCTCCTTTTCTTGACTTTTTGAAGTCACAACTTACACCAATGCCCTTATTAGGAATCATTTTAAGGGTGTTACAAATGTTTTGTTGCAACTATTTTTAGGACACAATCTATAAAATCTTTAACATTATCAACAAGAAAGTCTATTCAGGAATCCAAAGAGCTAGATATTTTAATTTACTTAGTAGTTTCCAGAACATACGGCAATTCGAAGTCGGATAACATTATCATATCATTAGCTGTCCCCTGACTTTCTTGACCTTACATGCCATTACATTTTCAAAGGCAAATGGCAGAAAGTACGTAGTTATTTCGTGTAAAGTCAAAAACATCTTACCCTCCTAACAGACAGGGCCCTGGCTCTAACGAACCATATTACCGTTTCAGTACAAGGCGGCACCGTCAATGAACCCTGGTAGCAAACATAACTGCTAAAGGGTGGGCTGAAGTAAGTAAGAGGCTTCGCAGTAAAGTTGTTTGTATTAAATGGTTCACCATTGCTAAAGTTCATCATTTTTGCTAAGCCTTGATGAGTGTGGTTTCCGTACTGAAAAGAAAATCAACTTTAGTCCAAAAAAAAAAATGGAATAACTAAATACGTTTTAGAAATATATCGCAGAAGGCGTAAACAAAAGTGTCATCAATTTTTGTAGTAAAGGGATCTTGTAACTATTTCAAGATGATTAAACTGTTTTATCGTTTCTTTAATCTTAGTCTTAAAGTAGCGAACTAAAAGTAATCTTAAAATAAAAATAATCTTAAAGGATTTTCTCCGCCCAATTAACCAACTGTCTGATTTTTTAAATTTAACTGCTAAATTAAGAAGCTTCCAGATGTCAGTCAGATCATACAGATATAATCGCCATTATAAAAAAGTTTTAGACGTCAAAATGATAGGAATCAAGTTAACAACAAGTAAAGTTGTGGCATTTTAATTTAAGTATAGATGGAGATTTGATTTTTAGATATAAAAGAGTTGATTAGTTATAAACTAAGTTTTTCTTAAAATTGTGGAAAAAGTTATTTTATTCATTACGAAAACGGGTGTGATGTCTATTCGAGAGATTAACTCGAACAAACATGAGTCGAATGATTTCCTTATGCAGTTCTAACTTTACATACTCCTCCTCCTTTTGAAGAAGTTGAATAAAAAATATATCACAACTGAACGTGTATGACAACATTTATATTATATGTATATTATATTTATATAAATGCACTTAGTTTAACCCATTATGTTTATTTTTATTATAAATCACTGAAATATTTCTCAAAATTACTCTAGATTAAACTTCAAATTAATTTTGATTTCTAGACAGATTACCAACAGTTAGACTAGGTAGATTATTTTTATGTGGGTACAATGTCCTTGCGTCATGATGTTATGAAGATAGCAAAACTGTTCATTTCAGTTAGTGTGTCATCTTTGATTAAAGCATGCACTGTAATCCAAGATACTTTGTGCTGATTGCAAGAGCACACAAAAAAGTGAAATGAGCCTTTTTGATCCTCGTTCATATTTTATTGTCAATTATTTGTATCCCTGAGCTACCCTACCAATGAAGGCAATATCATCATTGGTATCAGTAGTGTGACTCTATCGAAAATTTTCCACCTTGGGTACGACTGAGGCCATGGTCATAATCAGGACAGAAGACTATGCCTGATTTGAGAAGGTTTGAGTCAAACCACTTACAAACGACGTTATAGTTTGACCCTGGACTGCTGATAACCTGTAGGGGTTCGAAGCAAAAAAAGAGGGTATTTGGAACAGGGTAATCAACCTACTTACCCATTATGACTTTTGTTTATTACCGATACGTGACCAGTACATAACAAACGTATAGATATCAACAAATCAAATGGAAAGATACCTCGAAGAAAATATCTTATCTGTATCTACATAAAAGATAATATCTTTTTTTTAATACGATAAGATCAAGACTTGAAAGAAGTTTCTCGCATTTCTTTCGCTCTTACATTTGATATGTTTTATTCGCATCACACCAACAGCGTTTAATAGTCCACTGCTGGACATGGGCCTCTCCTTAGAAAGGAGGTTTTGGCCTACTATACCAGACGAACTGGTATAGGGTTTGTGTCAAGTATCCTTCTCTTTGCAGTACTGTTGTCCTGCGTGGGATGGAGACGACACCCACGAGATGAATGGGGGTGGTGACACTTCGTATTCTTAATCCGTCACCACACGGATATGTCGTGCGCATAGTATGTTGTTCGCATAGTGCTGTATAAACTCAGACCCCGTTCTTTTATGTCCCTCTGGACATTCGTAAGCCAGGTGGTCTGAGTACTTCCTCTTCCCCTCTTTATAATAGCCTTAGAAAGGCACTTCCTCACGATAGCAGTAAATATTTTATACATTTTTACACATTTATATTTTATACATGTGAATGATCATATAGCACACAGGTCCTATATGAGCATTCACAACCATGTTCTATGTATATATATTATTATTTGACATTGATAGATTGATGTTATTTTGTTTTATCTGACACGCAGCTTAAATAGATTATTGCAATCAGATACTCGTATAAAATTTTTGCATATTTGGCGTACTAATAATTATTATGTAAACAAAAATGAATAAAAATTGATTATTACTTTTATACCTACGATTTAGTAACCCGACCTAAAATTATGTAACTTATCAATTGTAGATAGTATTTTTTACAAAAAAAAACATATACGAGTATATGACAATAATAAATAGCAAAGCTGGTTGTCTTTCAGACACGATATCTTATCGTTACGGAATCAAAGCAGGTTTATAGGAATAAACAAATTTTTTTTTTTGGTGACAATACATCATCTATACAGACACTCACGTGTGCTGTTAGTTATTTTATAATTTTAGCACTAAACTTATAAAATAAGGGATTCAGAAAAAAATGAATGTTTGATTACGGTGGCGACAGCACAATAATTCATAGCCACGAAGCCTCGAAGTTCACAGATCCTTACAATTTCAGGATATTTATCTTCTAATCGGGACCAAGTCATAAAATGTATTTCAAAATACTGTTTTTAAAATTATTTATAATACAGTAAAACGGTAACGTATTTGTTTAATCAAAAAACTCTTGTAACTTCATCTTTTTCCGTTAATTTGTTTTATAACGTAAACATAAATAGGTTTCTATTTTGACTTGTACGAGTATGTCTAGTCAGTGAAGCATATTGTATTAAGGTCATAGCTCACCCACCTGACACCTGACCAGCATCTCCTCATCCAGACCTCGTCGTTTAGCGTCCACGTGTTGTTCAGAAATATTCGTTATTTTTAATTATCTACTTCCCTACGTCATTCTCCTCCGCCAGAAATAAAATTCACTATTGGTGATTGTTCTAAAATAATAAATTCTTTAAATCAAGCTCACGAGAAAATTATAAGAATTCAAATATATTCAGTTTATTTCCAAAGTATTTTTTAAATTATTATGTTACGACAATGACGCAGAAGTAAAATGGGCGAAGAATTATCCGGGAATAGATGAGTAGTTTGTCAGGTTTATCAGGGATCGTCACTCGTAAACCACTCGACTTGCGCGAGGGCAACGCAAGGCAATCGTGCGAGCAACCGGTTCACCAAGTGGTATAATATTGTATAAACTAACTAACTACATAGCCCACACATACACACACACACACACATACACACTCCGCACACACAAATGCACACACACACAAATGCACACACACACACTCACAGACACGCACATTGCGAAGGTTAGACATTCATATCATTGGTGATGTTTTTAGAATGGCTTACTTAGTCAAGCTTCATTAATTGAAACGAATTCATTATGAACATTGTTAGAAAGATTAGAAAAATGATATAAAACTGTATTTAATGTATATTTGTGTCATTGGAAGATTGCTGGTACTTATAGCTCAGGTATTACCTATTTTAAGTGCCAGCCGAACATGTTTTGGAATGTAAATGTGCATACCTATAAAATTGTCAAAGAGTCAGTAACTATTGTAAAAGAATAAAATAAATAAATAAATAAATAAATAAATAAACTAAACGCTCGAGGCGAAGCAGTGTTGGTCGGGTGTCAGGTGGCTCGTAAGCTATGACCTTTACTTTGAACGCTGTATACAGTTGTAATTAGACTGCAAATTTAGACCGTGACTATTGTGTAGCATAGAACTTTGCAGTTCTTAAATTTCTGTCTGTTTCTTTATCTTTATACATATTTATTCTAAATAAATTTATATGTCTACTAGCAACCAAAATTACTAGTATTCTCGCTAACCCCTCCCGCTAAGCTAAATTGCTTGTGTTAGGAGTGGGTTCTTGTCGATAGAGTACTGGTCAGGATTCGAACCCACGTCCTCTTGATCGCAACCATACTCAAGTCAAATACTATAATATCAGAGGGCAAAGTGCGAATTTATTTCACTTCTACTCGATCTTTACGGTGAGCGGGTCGGTGCTATTGGCCCGCACCGAAATCTTCACTAATCGCAAACGCATTGCAAAGTTAAGCAACTCTACTCTTCTGTGCCGCGGAGGGCCGCTCTTCTTTAAGCCGTGGGTCCCGGTTGCCCTTCAAACATCTGTGGCAATCGTTACGGGTAGTTAGAGCCCTAAAACTAGCCACATTAATTTCCACATAACTTTTTCGTTTTGTAATTATATTTATTCATCTATAAATATAACCTTTAAAATGTAAAATCTATAAAAATTATGATCTGTATTAACATAATGTATAAGCCCCTTTACATGCCGTTAAATATGTGATATATGTTTACGTAATACGATATACGTAAAAGAACCATTGTTCACACAAATTTTGTTTTTCTTTCTTAGTATATATTATGTGAGATAAGAAAAATATGCCTATATTGTACACTGTGTCAAACGGAATCAGCGTCAACGTCAAGCGTCACATAGGAAATTGGTTTATCTTTCGGCATCAAGCACCTAGTAACGATATAGTGTCGAATTGTATAATCATATTACGTACGGTAGTTAACTTTGGTATTTAAAAAAGATTTATTTCGGTATACACTGACTTTTCACTGCACGGATGGCGTAGTGGTTTAAACGGACGCCACGCCGTTTTCTATTGCGCTGAGTGTTGTGGGTTCGATCCCCACCTATGATAACACTTTGTGTGATCCACAAATTGTTGTTCTGAGTCTGGTTGTTCTTTTTGCCCGTTTTATGTATGTGTGTAAAGTCCCCCGCGACACAAGATATAATACTAGTGCGGGATTGGCTCTTTAAAAAAAAAATCACTCGCAATGCCATCGGTATAAAACTACTATCGATTCATGCGATTTTTAATTCAATTGTTATTCATTTATTTATTTTTCAGTGGTGCAGTGGTAGCGTATGCGTCTACTGTGCTAAGGTCTCGGGTTCGATTCCCAGGTCGGACCAAAAGATTGTATGATCTGCGAACTTTTGTTTCGGAGTGTGGGTGTTTTTATGTATAATATGTATGTATTTCCAAAAAAGAAAAGTATTTAAAAGTATTCTATCAGTCAACCTATCTTTCAGAGTACAAGCTCTGCTTAGTTTGAAACTAGATGGCGTTGTGTGTCAGATGTCCGAAATAATTATTATTCAAACCTTATATAAACTGGAGATTCCTAAAATAGCTTGAGCATCCTTTGGATAACCTTCGAGAGCGTCTTGTATAGTCTTGTACTCAGCCGATATAAACAAAGCTTGCGTTTCGACAGGATACACTTGGCCACCGATCCTGTGTTCTGACGGCCAGTGAACAGTCATTGAGTGAAATAAATATCGGCGACTATGAACTGCACCGCCGTAAATCAAAGGACGCCGATAACGAGGCCATATACCGTAGAGAACCGCTGAAATATAAATTAATGTTAATTAATCTTTAATCATATTTATACATACTTACATGAATCTAGAATTTATGAGTACATATAATAAAAGTCTAAGAGGATGATATGTAAGCTGAATGTAATAAAGATTAATAAAGTCGGCCAAGTATGTGTTGTTCCGTAGTGTATTACTACCACTTTTACGAAAATAATTTTTTTCTTAAGTTTATGCAATTAATTTTAGTCTAAGGGTTTTGTATTTTTACAAGTATGTTAAAACTATCAGCTCTTCTCTCTCTAACTCTTTTCTTATGTAGTGAAATATTTACTATATCATGATGCTCAACAGTAACTTAGCAACTAATAAGAATATTATAATATATAATAAAAAGTATAATAAATTAAAAATATTAATAAAGAGAGGAAGAGGGCTAAGCAGTAATATCTATCTTAATATCTATTTGTGCACACAACTAAATATAAATTTACATATTTTTATGTAATAAGTAAATAGGTACATATACTGTTAAAATATAAATACTAATTAAAGTATAAATATAAAAAATATTAGTCTCTGAAATAAACGTAAAGCTGCGAAGAGGAGGCTGAGCTTAATAAAGGGGGGTTCAGCTTATTGGTTGGATACCTTAACTTGTTCCGTTGCGGACATAAAATCAGCGATAAACGAGACACGTGTAGATATAGATGACTAAACATGTTTTACAGATGTATATGGAGGCTATAACGAGTCAGGTTTACACACCTATAACTCAAACTGGCTATATCTGGTAACTCCTTACTATTATTTAACATAATGTTAAATTGATAAACGAAAGCTCAAAATCTATTTCATAAAATTGGTTACCATCAATTTTAACCTTTTTGTACAAAATATTGAACATAGATAACACTATAACTTGCGGGTTCAATTTATAACCCCGTTTTTTTTTAATTGTTAAACTAACTTCTGAAAAGAATTCGAGCGAACAAACTTCCAGCCACGAAAAAAAGTGAATAAATCATCTAAATAATTCGAAAGTATATAATATCAAATTATCGTACAAACCCATCCTTTTAATATTCTAACTCATAATATTGTAATCCATAACAAAATATATTTAATGCATTAACTGTCCAGTGCAGTACAATAGCAAGTTTTTTTAGATAATTTAAATTAGGCCTCAATTTTCGTCTTGTACTTTTCTTGAAGTAAATAAAAGAAAGAAAGAGTGAGAGAACTACCATATAAGAGACTACCATATATATATACGAGTATATAATAGGTCTTTACCTATGAAATTGCCGTTTTGTATGCAATAAGTGAAAGTACTTATTTTTTCAAAGTTTTTTATTTCTGTTATTCGAAGTAATCACCCATGCAAACGCATCTTTGCCAACGCATTGGCAGTTTATTGATGCCCTTCTTGTAAAAATCAGCTGGACGGGAGGCAACAAACTCTTCAAAGGCATTTTATACTGCCTCTCGGGAATTGATTTTTTGGTAGGTGCAAGGTCTGGTGGTCACATCCGAAACCAGCTTTGGTCAATCGGTCGTCCCCGCTGCTCCTTCACGACAACGCGCGACCCCATACTGCGCAACAGACAGTCTCCAAGCTGCAAGAGCTGGGTTTGAAAGCGTTGGCAAAGATTCGTCGATTGCATGGGTGATTACTTCGAATAACAGAAATAAAAATATTTGAAAAAATAAGTACTTTCACTTATTGCATACAAAACGGCAATTTCATAGGTGAAGACCTAATATATATATATATATATATATACCCTATATATATATACTATTGTACGAGTATATACACAATATCTATTATAAGTTAAAGCAAAGGACATTGTCAGTCACTATACAAAGTCAAGGGGTAATTAATTGAAGCACTAAACAATTTCAGATGGAAGCCAGCTGTTTCGCGACACAAGGTTAATTCCGACAATAGATTGTATGGAACAATTTTATACAAGAGCCGACTATGTTTACGATGGGGGACGCTGTAAATGTTGTATCGTAAATGTTGTATCGTAAATATCATCGAGGATTGTAAGGCTGTTTCAATTACTTCCCGTACATAAACTGCTTCAGAAGTGGATTAGGTAAATAAAATAAAAACTTTATTTCCATTATACAAGGATGTTCTAGGTACTAAATAGTTTACATAACCCCTTAATAACATTAATAGCTTCTGAAACTATTTTCCATATTCTGACGACAAAGGACTTGGAAATAAAAAAAACTGGTTTAGGTACAACTTTTAATCCTAATGTAATAATTGTGATTCTATAAGCTTGATCCATACTCTTCAGAAGACAAGGGGAGATGATGAAATTACAAGTGTAGTTCCCTAATTTCTTGTCATCTTACTCCGCCTCGTTACCTGTGTTCGTTTATTTGCCAGCGCGATTGCGTGGTGTAGCATTCTAACACTCTCCGCTCGCCACATACGAATCGTACGAAGGCAAGTTATCATGTCATTAAATAATATCTATATATATAAAAGAAAGTCGTGTTAGTTACACTATTTGTAACTCAAGAACGGCTTTACCGATATGGCTTAAAATTGGTGAGGAGGTAGCTTAGAGCCAGGAGACGGACATAGGATACTATTTATTCCTTTTTTTTTATATCGGCGTCGATCACCAGATGACAACGGTGGAACTGTCTCAACAAAAGTGAAAAGAATGGATTTCGTTGTCAACAACAATTAGATTGTTCCATATTCGCCACTTATTTCTAAAACGTTAAAGACACATTGCAACATTGAGTATTGGTCGGAAGACCATCTGCGTTGTTTGTTTTTGCGCCTGATAAGAAAACAAAAAATGTCGTGTATCACAAGGTACTTAAGTGAAGAGCAACCTATGTACTGAAATGCAGAAACAATAATAAATGATTAATGTACTTCATTTTTTTTTCTAAGAAATAAATTAACTTACTAAATTCGAAAATCGGCTCATTTATTAAGCCTTCGGCCTATCGGCCTTTAAGGCGGAACAGAGTTCGCCGGGTCAGCTAGTGTTTGATAAATATAAGTGTCGTGATTTTCAGTTTTAAAGTTCTGATTGCTACATAGTAGATTCATACTACCAACCTCTCTGACCATCAGTCTGTAGCAACATAGCTGACGGTTGCACGTTGAAGTATTGGAAAAATAGTGGTCTTGCACCTCGTGCTTTTAATAGGCCCGTTAATGGTAAGTCTACGGGGGACTGCGAACGGCCACTGCAGCTGGGGAAGATTTGGGGCCATGTGTTCTGGGCTGTGGGTAGGAAAGTAAGGGATTAAAGTCATGGTACTAAGGATCATATTAGTATTCCATATGGTCTGGATGATTGGCCTATGTATGTATTGGTCTCCTACATTATTCACTGGTACTCTACTACCTGATACTGTTCACGAAATAACTATGTCGTTCGGAATACATACAGTACCGTGTCGTGCGTACGTACGCATTCTTGAATGGTCTTAATAAAAAAACCAAGATCTCCCGTACCAGGAATATAGCCTGTATCGCAGAGGACTTTACAAACATACATAAAATGGACACAAATAATACCCAGACTCAGAACAGCAGCAGCAACAATAATTACTAATTACGAATGTTAAAAGAAAAACAACTTACTATAATAATCCCAGTTCCTGTGCGTTTCTGCAAAAAAAAAGAACCAGCAATTGGAATTTCGTTTGAATATTTTTTTGCTTAACAGTGATATCACAAGTTAAATTATTTTAATCTATGATATTTAAAGCCAGGATTCAACCAGTGTGTGTTACCAGTGATGACCTACGGCACTGAGACGTGGTCTCTTACTATGGGCCTAATCAGAAAGCTCAGAGTCGCTCAGCGTGCTATGGAAAGGTCTATGCTTGGCGTTTCCCTGCGTGATCGAATCCGCAACGTAGACATCCGCAGGAGAACAAAGATAGTCGACATAGCCCAACGGATTAGCGCGCTGAAGTGGCAATGGGCAGGGCACATAGCAAGGAGAACTGACGGTCGATGGGGCAGCAAGGTTCTCCAATGGAGCCCACGTACTGGAAAGCGCAGTGTGGGACGACCGCTTACCCGATGGACGGACGATCTGGTAAAGGTTGCCGGAAACCGTTGGATGCAGGCCGCAATCAACCGACCCGCTGGAAATCATTGGGAGAGGCCTATGTCCAGCAGTGGACAAGCATAGGCATAGGTGATGATGATGATGATGATGATTTAAAGCCAGTCGTTACTATATGATGAATATTTTTAAACACACGTTATTATAATACAATAAAGTAGAAAAATATACTTCTACAATGGGTTAATTAATAATTTTCTTGTTAAAAATATCGCTAAGTTATAAGATAACTTAAGTACAGAAGACTGCCAAGATAACAAATCCAATTTTTTTATTTTTGCAAAAAACACTATTACTGTGATGTTATTAAATTACAATGACATGTGTCAAGTGATTTTACTGTAGTAAATGTGTACTTCAAGATTGACACTGAAACATTTTTTTTTATTATAATTATAAATATTTTATTGATACCCTTTTATTGACGCACATAAATATCCCTACAGACAAGTTCCATAGAATTAAAGTTCCTGAATATATAAAGAATCATTCGTAGAGGTGATACAGTTGTCTATGTTATACATTTGTCTATGTATGCCTAAAATATCTCATAGAAGGGTCACTTTGTAATTATTCCATAAGGAACGTTAATTGTAGTGTATTTAAGCTGTATGATATCAAAATATCATCAATAACAACAAGAACACTTACGAAACGGTGATGCTGCACTGTATATATCTCCGTCTAAGGATTTTGGACGAGACCACTAAAAAAAAATTGAATCATATCATTTAACGAAAGAAAGAAATAATATAATCATTGATTTCAAGTAAGGATAGATTTAATTGTAACGTATTCAATCCGATTTATTTTAATAAATGCATGTGTTAAAAACAAATAATCCAATCAAACAACTAAAGCCCATAATACAATAAAGAGGTCCCAATTACTTTTGTTAAAATTAAATTATTAACAGCTTTAACATGTTTTGGCAATTTTTAACTTGTGTCTTTCTGATTAATAGTAAAATGTGTGTACTGTCTGTAACACTTAATCCTACCGTTCAAATGAGCTTTATCGATTTTTTCTATCACGAAAACAGTGTACATTTGTAAACACCGCGATTTCTGTTCGTAGAGGTTTAGGTTTGCTCTATTTATTACTAAAGCTATTGCTGCAATGTTCACACATCACATACACATCATACATTAACAGCCTTTAATAGTCTATTAGTAATAATAGTACTTTTAATAAGGGCCCCATAGAAATAATGTTTAGAAATTATGAGATTTTGAGCATTTTACAATACTGTCACTTAGCAGAAATAATAAATGTTCAAAATGAGATACTTGTCTATTTTATATGATAATAATCATCCTTTTTTGATTTAGTCAACCTATAGTTGTCATATTATACTTTTAGTAAAGAAGGTAGAGTCCTATTAGGATATAATGATTTAGCTTATATGGTATTAATGTCAAATAGATAATTATGGATACTACTGCAAACACACAAACATATAGATATATCCATATAACTACAATGCTTCATTATATATACAAATCTACTTGTACTAGTACCAGTACCCTTTTTTAAAGACCTGTTAATTATAAAAATAGGTAAACCTGTGCCATAGGCGATGAGGACACTTACAAACTTTAACTAACATAAATACTGTAATTAATTAATCGGAACAATACTTTTTAAAGATACATCAAATGGGTGTGTTTATAAATAGTTTAATATGTATGCACACTAACAAACTTTAAATTATTTAGTAACATAAGACGAGTAACACATTTAGATTTTATGGACTGTAATGGACACGCGGGCTATTTATTATTATGACTTGTTCAAAGTGGTTGGAACACAGTACAATTATTTGTAAAATTAAGATATCTTGCTGAATACTTAAGTGCGATTATACGCATAGTTTTCGGGAAAGCGAGAAGAGGAAAACTTTACCCCATAGGAGTGGGCCAGTACGATGTCTTTAACATACTTTGAGAGCGATGGGAATGGTTTGAAGTCCGTCTCGGAATTATCTTGCGATTTTGTTTGACAGCAGGGAGGGACGGAGACTCCTTGAGCCTGTGAAGAAGAAAAATTTTGAACGAGGGTAATTTGGATGATCTGGTAGCAGAGCATACCGAGGAAAGTACAGATTTTCATGGAAAATGTTTTATTAGATATAGAAACATTGAGTTAAAAGTAATCACTCGAACAAGATAGTAAAGGCTGTGCTTACTTATGAATTATTTGTGAAATGTTTGAAGTAATTATTATAATAGATTAAAGTACAAAGAAAACAGTAGATTCTGAACTTATTATTCGTATTATCTTCGATGTGTGTGTATACAAAATTTAGTATCTCAAACTTAGATTAAAAGTTGATACAGATTTCTAAAGATCTTCGAAAACTTAGTAAATTATTAAATTTAATATACCCGACTCAGTTAGTTTTCATTTGTTATAAGTTAACAATTGAAAAACTTTGTACAGAAGATTTAAATTAACAATTTACCGGTGCTTATAAGTATACAAAAAATTATATCGCTTTATTAAAAATCTAAAAAAATTGCTATCGCTATGACACTTTTCAATAGAACATACATTACGGACAGGTACAAATATCACAAAGTAAGAGCTATATACTAAAAACTTATGGATACATATATAGGATAATATATAATAAATAAAGTAATTAATCTATATATATTACATGAAGATTATTTGTTGCACCCGATATAAACGGGAATACCCAAATACTCTGAAGTATTTTATTTCGAATTTCGATGTCCCAATTTTCAAAAGACCGAATGTCTATTATTAAAATTCACGAAATTTGTTTTACCGAAAGTCGTAAATGCGATTTGTTAGTTTTCCGATTTGTTACGTTCAAAGAATGAAATGCTTGATGGGTTCTCGGTCCGAAAAACGAAATTCCGAGTTTCAATACTTCGAATAAACTGCTAAAATTAGGATTCTGATTCAGTTACGTATATTTATTCAGAAGCTATAAGTAACTTACATATAATGTAATTTAAAATCTTCTATTTTTATTAATATTTATTTTTATGAAAACATTCATATACCTGCGTCTGGTACCATCTACTGTTATTGAATTTATCGATTGACGTCAAATCCCTTCTATTGTTGATGAATCATTTCGGTTAGGTTAGTTTAGAACTGTGACCAGCGAAAGAAAATATTTTTATTCGAAAGAAAATAAAAAAATTGATGTTTCGAATTATCATTAAGCCTGACTTTTTGTTATTCGATCTATTGAAAGTCGGTATTTTGAGCATAGTAATTATAACTGTTAGAAATATTAAAATTTTTCAATGATAATAATAGGATGTATGATCAACCGGAGTTGTTATATTGGGAATTTTGAATCATTCGGAATTATGAAAATCGGAATTATATACTCGTAATATGTAGATTAAATTACAGTTGAAACCGGCTGCATAAAGCTATTTGGATCCAGAATAACTGTCAGAGTATAAGTCTTTTAAATTGTAGTTCAATTTATACTGGTCACTGAAATAAAACAAGGTATTTACAACGGTCAAAATTCGACTGCGATCTATAGTAACAATAAAAACATACATTCTCTGTATTAATGTTACTATTAAGTGTTACTATGAGTTTTAATGTTACTATGAGAGTAAGAGTTATCTAACCTTTTTTACCATACAATATGTTATACATAAGTAAGCAAGATAAAACAATAAGATACAGGAAACATTTTTTTCTCCTTTTTAATCGATATTCTTTACTTTTTTACGGTTTGGAAGCTATTGATGTACTTGTAGACCTCTCTGCCTACCCCTTTGTGAATATAGGCGATTATTTTCTGTTTGTTTAAATGATGGTCTAATTTTGAGTGCTGAACGATGACTAGTTACTTTTAAATATCCGTCAGCGACGCTATCAGCAATTTTTAATAGACAAACTAAATAAAATAGAAGGTTTTTGTAAAAACTTTTATGAGAGGTATTACACACATGTTTACTTCACTTAACAGGCCTTATATTTATTTATGAAGTTTCTGAAACAATAATCTACTCATTTCGATAATAACATTAAGCCCAGAGTTATATCTGTATGAGGACTGTTAAAATGTCAAATCCAGAGTAGGGAACCTAAGGCCGGCCGTTGGCGTGTTTTTAGTGGAAAGCATACATACTCCTGGCTAATAAGTCCACTAGGAGCCGAAGGGATTTTTCATTCCATAAAAAAGGGGTGATGTAAAATACTGTAGACTACAGCAAACCTCTGAGTCCCTCTCAAAATGCTAAACTCCAGATGTGAAATCTTTTTGCCTTGATCTCTTCTGAGACACAATCTAAGTCAATTTGGTTCAAAGTTGCTCAAAATTTATCTATAATAATTATGTTTCTTTTGAATACATTTGCCCCTCTGATGCCAATAAGCTAGCCACTTATATCGTAAGTGGTATTAAAATTATTTTCGGCAAAATGTGGGCGTTTATACACTTCAGTCTTTTTGGTATAAATATGATCAATAACGGATGTTATTAAAATAGTCAATTTTCATTATACACGGTGATTTTTTAGGCGTTTTGGAAACGAAACATTTTAATTTGGAATCATCTATAGTACCAATAAAAATGATTAAATCAATTGTATTGTTGTCTAAAAAAAAGTTTCAGTTTTAATATTAATTTTTACTCGATCGACTTGGAAAGTAGTAATGGACTGATCATTCATTCATTATCTTATATGAATGAAACACGTCCGTGGGCGTTTCGGCGGCCGCTGCGCACCGCTGACGCTAACAGCAGCTGATAAAAGTATACCTATAGGCGCGAGCTAGCGAGTACTTACGTAGACAGACTCCGATTTGTCCTTCATACTTTACACGGGCTTAGGATCGTCGGAAATACCTATTTTATTTAAACTTCTTTTCGATTATTAACCACGATTGTTCTTTTCACAACAAATCAATTTATCAACGGACTGTAGGTATAAATATTTCAAGCGTATTTAAAAAATCGGAGCTATCTACAGAATAATTAACTTACATACCTATTTACACTATTTACACTTCTCTGTATCGAAGCAACTGCTCAAAATGGAGTACGCTGCATTCAATACACAAACGTCCACGTTTAATGCAATTGTTTTTTAATTTTCTTAAGGTGTCTCTATCACTTTTCACTTTATCAAAAGCGTCCACTATCGCAATGCGTAAATTATCACGGCTTTCATATTCCCGTGTATAAACAAGTATTTTTATTTCCGACCATAAGAAAAAATCCAGGGGCGTTAAGTCCGGGCTTCTAGGTGGCCAAGGCACTGGCCCTCCTCGACCTATCCACCGATCACTAAACTCATTGTCCAGGTATGCACGCACTACACTCCGGCGAATAATAATTTAAACGTCCTTGACCTTGCGCGTAAGTATAGTATTTCTATTCGTAGTATTTACCTACTTGCGATTGAAAAGCCCTACTACTGGTTCTCACCTTTTCTCTGTAATCGATATGAATATCGACTTTGATGATAAAAAATATATATATTTTATTAAAATAACGTTATATATAGCTTCTGTTACTGATAAATAACTCAAAATTTTCTTTTCCAAAACGCTTTCAAAATCACCGTGTATATTTCTTCAAATATATAATGGAAAATTATTTTTAGGCTGTCAAATGTAAGTTTGTTAGAAAAATATGTCAGAAATAATCGTAAACGTATCTGCTTGTGTCGATGTTTAACTGCCCTTTTTTAAATGATTAAATATTTTAGGAAGAAATTGGGCAAAGAAACTAAATTGATTTTAATTATAGCTACAGTTTACATAATATTTATAATTAATTAACCTTACCTCATCTTTAAACGATTTCTTCATGTAGTGGTCTGATTTCATCAAAGGAATTTGAGTTGGAACATGCGTCGGAAAATGGAACACCCAGATAGTTTTAGGCTGAAAAAAAATATAATTATGATTATGTATCGTCTGAACGTATACTTAACAACAAAAGTTGTTTGACGGAAGTAAGTGAAATTACCTAAAAGTCCAAAACATCTTCATGATCAGATTAGTTTAAAGGCAATTTGCGAGTGTTGTAAATTATTGTAAATTGCTGTTGCTCAAAATGGAATTTTGTTAATAAATCTATTAGAGCAGGTAATTGAATTTTGAATCACTGGAATAGCTTCACAATATTCTATGATGGAAACTTTGTGAAGTGGCTAAATAAATTAGTCAGAAATTAAATGTCCTCTATGATTAAATTACTCGTTACTGTCTGCCTACATGCAAACATGCAGATGGTACTTTTAACACGTGACCCATCTATTATTTTTACCGCCAAACTATAAATTAATATAATATTATTATGCAGCTAAATACAAAACCCTAAACACAGAATCACACATGCAGAGATATGTGTAGAAAGCTGTTCTAATACCAACTGAATTAATGTGAAGAGAGTTCTGTACTATGATTTGAAAATATAAGTTTCTATGTACAATAATGGGATTGACACGGCTTTTTAGGACTTACGAAGTTGTGTAACCTAACTTAACATTTTGTTTTCAATATTTGTCACCTGAGTTCTTTGTAACAGTAATATCTTTGTAACTTTGTAATCTGTTGTAATAATGAATTACTTTATGTAAGCATACTAAACATGTTTAGTATAAGTTATGCCATAAATTGAGTATTTGTGCTTTGTGGAGTTAATTAACCTTTTCTTAAGGCGATTACATTTTTCTCTTAAATAAAATCGACTGTTACCCTTTGACTCCACGAGCTGAAAGGTATCGGTATGTCATTGAAGCTATCAAATAACGCACTTTTTACTCAAAATAGCACTACGAGTATAAGTTTTGAATACAAATCTTGTTTATCAATGACAATTCAAGTCAGAAAAGTAAGAAAAAAAGGTATGTGCTTTGAAACCTGTGATTTAACTTTTGAAACGAATTAGTGTACGCATCTATGTATAAGTTTTATACTATTATTAAGAGGCCCCTTTTTCGTAAAGCCCTACAGATAATTTATTATTACATATATGCCTGACTTTTATATAAGTAGTATTGGGTTACATTCGGCTCCGGTACAGGCAAGCCAAAACTGTTATTATGTATTTTGGTTTTTATTATAATTTCTAATATAGTCGGGTTCTTAGTTTCATTTCTTACTTTCTTGTCAAACTACTAGCCTGTCTATTTCTTATTTAAACCAATAAGTTTTTCAGATGAAAACAATCTTATATTAATATTGCATTAAGAAATTACATCACTTTGAGCAAATTACACGTAAAATTTGAACAGAATAAGATAATAAAGTAAAATACATCATTTTAAAATAGAATAACCCACCGAGACCTCTACAACGCGATTACCAACTTCATCTGGGAACAGCTTCAACATTCGACCCCACAAAAATGGTTGTACAGTATTCTCTGTCTTCAAGGTAAGGTCAAAGCTTGGTATTTCACTGATATCGGGCCAATGAATTTGTGGCTGTAACAGATGGACCAAATTATTTTTGGTGATGAGCTCAGTAATATTTCAGAAAGACGTTTACGTACAAGAATCTACAGAGTATAATATCCTATATTGTATTTTTTAACAATTGTTATCAAGATCCACTATATGATTAACCGACGTTAACCACGAAATTATGAGCGAAAAAAGTCGATTTGGAATTCGATCGATTCGAAGGTCCTGTGATTAACTACAGATATATTTCTGGGTCACGTGGGACAAGATTTTTGAATTCCTGTTATACCACCACCACTAATCGACTGTATTCGACGTGGTGGTTAGATGCTCTTCGGACCGAGTGCAAGTTTATTTCACATTGACTCGCTCTCGATGGCGAGCGCGTGTAGCGTTGCCATTGGTGGAGATTTTAGGGCGGGCCAATCGTAGCGCCGAACGCGGTCACCGTGTCAATCGAGTAGAAGTTAAATAAACTCGTACTTGGCCCTCTGCTCGATTATGAAAATTAATCAATAGATAAAGTGGCTCATTTAACGAGTCCCGGAATATCACAAAAGTTGATTTTATTTTATTTTATGATTAAATTTCCACTTTTTTTTTGTAATGTTTGCCTAATTGCCGCTGTCCATCAGATTCGAAAGGCATTACCCAATAACTATCTATTTAATTTATATTTATTTATATTAATTATGTTTAAAAATATCTATGTGGTGACGGATTAAGAATTCGAAGTTTCACCACGCCACATTCATCCCGTGGGTGTCGTAAGAGCCAACTAAGGGAGCAAACTACGCAGGACAACAGCACTGCAAAGAGAAGGAAAACTTGACACAAACCCCTTTTTTTTTTTTTTAACGTGTGGAAATCCCCTCGGACCGTCACCCCACCGGGGTTTGCGGCGGGGTGGTGTGTCGGACTCGGACCGACTAAAACCACAAGGTGTGCCACTCTGCGCCTGTAATAGGAGGGATCCGGGAACAGCTGTTATTAAGACATCCGGACCCCTCCTAGCGCCGGCCCGCTCCTGTTGCGGGCTCCGTCTCAAAATTTTTTTTTTTTTTTTTTTCCTTTCTTTAGGCGACGTCCTGCAGACGCGGACGCCGCCCCCTCGCGGCTGGCCAAACTAATGCGGGTGGAGGGGAAACCCACCCCGTCCACCCGCGGCCACACTCAGGGCGGCATGAGGCGGTGATAGGCGCGCCGGTTCCCCGGCGGCGGATCCAGCGCGTGGAGTCTCCAGCCGGAACGAACAACGAGCCATCGTGGCTCGGCGAGCGGCTTCGCGCCACTCGCGCACATCCTCGGGCGGAGGGCGAAATCCGCTCTCCGCCCGGGAGTCAGCCACTCGCCGATAAACTTCGGCGAGCACTTCCGCATGCCACCTCCGTCGAAACGGTGCGGTAACCGCGTATGGCTCTGACCGCCATTACCCTCTGAGGGCGCCAGAGGCGTGCCCTATTCTGGGCGGTCAGAGCCGCCGCCCACACCGGTGCACCGTACAGTGCCATTGACCGGACAACCCCCGTCCGGTCCGTCGCGTGTAGGACCTCCGGGCACGTGTACAGGCCGCACGGAGGTCCGCCAGCTCCTGGGACCACCAGTAGACCTCCTTCCTTGGAGGCCGACGACCTCGAATGCGGGGCATGGCCGCATTGCAGACATGCGTAATCGCATCGCGAAAGCGACCAGCCCTCACGTCGACCTCCTCGGTCGGGGCCTGAGGAGACAGCCACGAGTGAATTATGGCTGCCTCCTCTAGTAGGTCCCGGTTCAGTCTGGCAACAGCCCACCGCGGAAAGCGGTATAAACGCCGCGCCACGTGACACCTACTGGAGTCCTGGGTCCGGGAGAGCTCAAATCGGATATAAAGATGATCCGAGAGCGTCTCAACCTCTACCAGGACACGCCAGTTCCTTACTCGTGCGGCGAGGGCAGGGGTAGCGAACGAAAGGTCCACTATCGACCCCCCCTGCTGTCGCACGCACGTGTTGGTGGAGCCTCTGTTGAGAAGACAGAGGCCCACCGAGGCCGCCCACTCCTCTACGGCCTCGCCCCTTGCGTCCGTCCCGGGGGAACCCCACGCAGTGGATTTTGCGTTGAAGTCCCCCAGAACAAGGACGTGCCCAGACGCTAGTCGCCGCATCGAGGTCTCCAGGTTGTTGAGGAAAACCTCGAAGTCGCTCAAACTCCGGTTGGGGGAGAAATAAACACCATATATGGTGATCCCCCCCCACTCGGCGGCAACATATCCAGTGCCCTTGTCTCTTAGCGACAAGGGCGGGGAATGAGCCGCCGTGGAACCGACGACTGCCACGGAGCCGTCCCATTCACCCATCCAGTTTGGACGGGGAGGGACAAAATAGGGCTCCGCGACTACGGCAACACCTATCGACCACTGTGCCATGGTTTGCAGGAAGAGATCTTGCGCCGCGGCACAGTGGTTCAGGTTCGTCTGGACCAGGAGGCTAGAGACCCGATCCATTACTGGATCGTCTCTACAGCCTCCTCCATGGGCGACGACGTCGACGCACGAACTACATCGGAGGCAGCCTGGGTCGACCGGCTAGCCCCCGATGCTTGCTGAGAGTTGCGGGGAGGCTTGCAGCCCCCTGCCCCATCTGGTGATTGGCGGGCTTGTTACCCGCCGCACACACCGGGCAGTGAGGGGCGGCAGAGCATTCCACCGCCACATGGCCCGGTCGACCACAGCGGAAACATAGTCCGCTACAGTCAAAGCAGCTTTGGCACTTGACGCGCGTGTGCCCCGATGCTAGGCATTTGTAACACCTCATCGGTCTCGCCGCCAGGACTGTGATCCTAGCGCTCACGAAACCGATGAGCAGCCTGCCGGCGTCGGCCAATACTTTGGCCGACGCTACGGGACAGCTGACCCACACGGCGCCAAGCCTTCCTGGACCGGGGCGGATGGTGCCGACCCTGACGTTGTCCGCGCTGCACCCCGTCTTCTCCCGGACTACAGCGCGGACATCTTCGGCCGTCACAGAGTCGTCCAGGCCCGAGATGCGCAGCTCCGCGCACTTGGTAGGCTTGGCGATCTTGACACCATCTGTGGTCGCGAATAAACCCCGCAGCCTCTCAGCAAAAGTGTCCGCCGTCTTAGTGCCTTCAGCCCCTGGGAACTCGAGAACTCGAGCTCCCGTTTGGGCGAGGCGCATCTTGACCCCCACCGTCCCAAAATCGTTGGCGAGGCTGTCCCGGGCCTTTTTAAAAACGGCCGCGTAGGACAGCCCGCCGTCAGCCGCCTCCGGGGACACGGTCACCACTACAGCCGCGGTTTTGGGCGGCTGCAGCTTCCGCGGCCTCTTTGCAGAGGCCGTTGCCACCGGTGGCGAAGGCTGGGCTTGGGCTGCTTTTTGGGCAGCCCTTCTGGCCCGCTTTCGGGACTTCTTGGAGCCCCTCGCCTCCTGCCAACCCTCGTTGGAGGGGGCAGGTGCGTAGGGGCCCGGCAGGGGTGTCGGAGTGGGGAGCGGAGGGAATGCCACTCCGCTCCTCGGCGCTGTTTTAGGCCCCGTCTTGGCTGGCACTTTGGCCTGCGCCTTGGCCGGCGCCTGGGAGGGTGCTTTGGCCGGCGCCTGGGCCGGTGCCTTGGCCCCCCTCCTCGGCTTTTGGGGAGCCGATGGAGCCGGGGCAGACGCCGCCGCCGCGTAAGAGACGCGGCCTCCCACCACGGGGAGCGCGGTCGGAGCGGCGGCCTTAGGCCGCTGTGCCGACGCGAGCGGGGGGCGCACAACCGGCGCAGGGGGCAGTCTCGCCTCCAGGCCAGCCAGGTGTCCGTCCAGCATATTCCCAACTGCGATGAGGATTTCACGCAGTTGGGAGTCAAATGCCCCTGAGTTGGTGGTAGGGGCAGGCTGGGACGCGGACGGGGCTTCCCGCTCGGGGAGGTTCACCTGGAAGCGGGCGAACTGAGCGCTCAGCTCGTTCACCCGCTCCGTCAGCCTCTCGTTGGCCAACTGCAGGCGAGACACATTGCCCACTAGGCCCTCCACGACCTCCGACAAAGCGGAGGAGGAGTCCTTAAGGGCCCTCACAAACGAGCCCTTAAGGTTAACGGACTTGGTGGCCACCTTGTGGATGACGCCGCTTTCGCCCTCTCCTGCACGGACACGGGAGCCTGGGGGGCATTTCCCCCCACCGGCTCCCGAACCTTGAGCAGGAGATCCGCGATCTCCTCCTCCGCTACGGCCTCGCCGTCCACTCGTACTGCTGTACGACTCTGCGTAGGACTGTAGGACTCTGCGTTTGAGAACGCGGAGCCTGACGGGGTCGAGACCGAGGCCGGTTTGCGTGCCCTCCCTCGGCGGCTGCTTGCCACCTTTGGTGGCATCATCTCCTGGGACGTGTCGGTTTCCTCGTCCCTGGAGCGTCCGCGTTTCCGGCTGTCGCTTCGCTCCGCCTCCATGGCCTCCGCGCCATCCGATCCGGAACGCAGCCGATCTGATGCTCTTCGGCTCCCAGAGACCAGAGTCAGACTGACTTCTGGGAGCCCCACCGAGATAGGCGTTCCCGACGCCACCTCACCCTCAGTGGACGACCCATCGACTTCACTGTTCTGCTTGTCCTTCCTTCCCTTTTCTTTCTTGTCCGTTAGGCTTGCCTTTTTCGTTTGTTGGTTGGTTCCGATCGTTTCTTTAATTTTTTGTAAATCATCCATAATAATCCCACGAGTGGGGGAGAACTAACGGTCCACCCGGGCAGAGATCCCCCATTACCCGGGCAAGCGTAAGTTTTTAACCCAACCGAGGGGTCCGCAGGTACCTCGGCTTGGAGTGCGCTCGAGACTGAACTTCCCATCAGCCATGCATCCCCTGGCCACGCACCAGAACACGGGATTCTGGGAATTTTTTAGAGAGGTTATCTTCCTCGCGGTCCGGGCGGTTAAGCCAAGACCCTCGCCCCCGATCAGAGCCGCGAGACTTAACCACAGCGCTCTTCTCGGGATTACGATATGCCGACGGTTGACAGGGAGACTACGTCCCCCTGCCTGCTCGGTGGTAGTGTCAGTACACGCCGAGCCCGTCCTCCTTTCCCCGCCGCTGTCAGTGGAGAAACTGTGGCCCCTACAGGGCCCCGCCATCCGGTTTTTTACAGAGGTTTCCTCCTCCATGCTCCGAAGAGCGAAGAGCCAGCAGGGCAACCGGCAGACACGCCCACCCTGCTGGACCAGGCCTTGCCCGAGAGCCGATGAACGGCTACCTCTTCTGCTAGAATATTAGCCGCTGGTGATAATCCTCTCCTCCAAGTGGACAAGGAGGAAACAGTGCCATCGCCAGCGTTTCCAGGGTGCACCACGGGGAGGTTGTTGTTGTTGATGCGATGATGTGATGTTTAAAAAAGTTCGCCTTAAAGTTTTAAACCAATTCTTAATGTAGTGCATGCGGCTTGTACCCATTATTATCTAATTATTGAACTAGACTCTAGACTGTATTTGTATAACAGTATTCTGTTAGTGCAAATAAGTGTAAATATTGTTGTTAAAGCATGCATTGAAAATGGTTTTGTTTCAATCATTTATTAAAAATTTCATGTAAATATAAGACGAATTTACGTTTTGATAATTTGAAATAACAAACTTCACAGTATTTTGCTATAATTGGTACTGATAAAGAGAAGAAACTTACTATAAGAATACATTGTACAGAAAAATAATGAGGCGAAAAAAAAATCCTACAGTACTAAACTGAAATACAATTTTCCTTGTTAAGCACACTAGTGAATGCAATTCGAATTGAATACTTCCAAAAGAAACGGTTACAAAGTTTGGCATTCATAGCACTAACTTATACAATGAATAATATCTGATTTTTATAGATATAACCAACGATTCGCCCTGGCTTCGCAGGTGTTCTTTCATCATCATCATCAGCCTATCACAGTGCACTGCTGGACATAGGCCTCTCAAATTACACGATCGATTTTCGGCTTCTCGCATCCAGCTTCTGACAGTACCTTACTGTACTACGGATACTTTATTTATAAGGATCTCTGAAGAGCTTTAGCTAAATCCATGTTAACTTCGTTTTCGGCACTTATTTGTAAAATATGGTATTTACTTTTCTGATTAAATATAAACCTAATTAGGATATTTTTTTACATTTTTTAACCTTCCTTGAAATATTCTCTAATTGATAAGGACAACCACATCAAAATCCGTTAGGGAATATACAGATAAGACATGTAAACAGTCTTTGTTTTATAGTCTATAAGATTTATTATAATTTTGTACAAAAATAACAAACTTAAAGTCTGTGATTATATCACTATGCCTGCGAGAAAAGGGGCCGCTTGATAGTAAATTAATTTTAAATTGTTTTCAAAGTCACGTTCTTTAGAAACACAAATAAAACATCTCATAAATAATAATACTTTATATAGTGCGATAAAAATATATATTTACTGAGTCTTATAATGTTGTTGTTGTTATAGAGTGGCAAAACTAATAGGATGTTCCATAAAAGTTCTAACATCCCGGAATGATTCACGATTTAATAAAACTTTCCAAAATGGGTGTCGAGTCAGTCTCGTTATTAGACAATTTGCCGGGTGAGTTCACGAACCTTCTGGGACTTTGTATTAGATAAGGTTGGACAATTTGGTGTATTTACATTCTAGTTTGGTTTCAGAAATCTTTATTCTCATAAGAATTGTACATTCACTTACATGAGAATTTATACATTAATAACTATTAAATATTCCGATGAGCATGCATGGGTAAAAAATTAATATTATGTGACAATGAGGGTCAAAATGTATGTACGCATGTGAAGTAAAAAAAAATTGAAATAATTACCTTTTACCAATTTAACAACAAAATCCTCAAACAGTATCAAAGCTAACAAAATTCATCACAAATAATATGTGGTTAATAACATTACATTTAAAAAATTAAATAACGGAGGTACACATACATAGGTTAGGTAGTTCTACTGACTTAAATTTTATCAACCCAAACAGAAACAAAATTATTTTAATCCTACCTACATTCAAACATTAGACCAAATGCTATGCGCACATTACAAAGATAGTAAAACACTAGATGCGATACATTTATTGACTAACAAGTTCAGCTAAGCGTTGCATCTTTAATAAGTGATTAATTTAATTGTTAATTTATGTATTTCTAAATTTGACAATGGGTTACTTTTAAATGGATATAGTTAGTTTTTTTTTTCTTTTCTTTATTTATTTTCGTTTAGCAAGTGGGCTTTTAATATTTTTTTGAATGTATTTAAATGTCTTTTATCTTTAATAGAACTTGGTAAATTGTTCAATAGTTGAGCACTCGCATAGGTTATATTATGTTTGCCATAGTTAGTTCTAGGAGGGCGTAGTACTAAATTATTAGTACGCCGTAGTCGCCTTAACCGATTATCCTCACTTCTTAATTGGAGTGAGATATTAGTGTGTATTTTTTTTGTAAGTATTTTACGTATTAAGATGCATGTATTGTATTTGTATGTGTTATCAATATTCATTATTTTGGTTTCTTTGTAAAGTTTTGCAGAAGGTGTGAAGTAATTATAGTTAAATAATCTTTTAATCAATTTGTTCTGTGATATTTGTAGCGAACGAAGGTTTGTCTTAGCCGCTAAGCCCCAAATTTCGATCTAGTTCTACGCTATAGCGACCAAACAGGTGTTAGGAATAGCGTATTCACTATTCTTAACAGCGATAATATTAGTTACAATTGTTGCACATAGATGATATTTGTGTTTATTATCATTAAAATAAATTTGTTTTATTTAGTTTACCCACATATCATTCAATCGGCGATATGTTTTACTGTGATCTACTGGTACTTCACTCCAAACATTTAACTTACCTTTCCACATTTGATTCGATCCCTGGCTTCATTATCAAGTTGTCTTTGAATATCATCAGCATCATCAAATAAAGTATTAGTTCTTGGGCTTGTTTGGTCTCTAAGGAAATGCCCTGAGAATAAAATAACATATTTCTTAAAGTACACATGGGGGCTATTTGGGATCAACTGCCTAAAGTTGATATGCGAGACAAATTCACGTCACCAGACCTAAAATTACACAAGAGGGACTTATAAATAGGCTCTCTTGTTGTGTTTGAACTTACAGTATGTATAGATAGTACCTTTTAGTCTAATAGTTGGTGAACCTGACTGGTACGCCACAGAACGTGGGTTCGATCCCCACCCAAGACAAAATAATCAAATTATTACAATCATTTTGTCCTAAATCTTGGTGTAAATTGTCAGTCCAAAGGTTGCCTGTAAGAGCTTACTTTTAACGATAATCTGTGATATTTATCTAGCATATTATAATTGGTGTACAATAAAGAACATTTTATTCTATTCTAATTCATAAAAAATAATGCATGTATTTAGTGATTCATATATGCAAATTAATTCAGCAGTCTAGTTACCTTAGGCTCTACCGAGTATGAGATGAGACGGGCTTATGTTTTGCGTCTCAAGTTATTGTTATTAATTATATAGCTCTCGCCTCCAGTTATAAAACGAAGCCTCAAATTGCTTTTTCACGCCCATTGTTAATAAAGCGACGATAAAAAATGGGTATGCTTCTATAAAAATGAATATATAATTTCAATTTTCTGTAATATTACACAATGTTTGCGTCATAAATAATTTATGTCTAAGTTATTTTAGGATAAAATAAAAGCAAAAGCAGTTCTCACATTTATTAGGAATCACTTTTGTTTAAAAATTCCTAATCTTTACATGCCAACTATTATTTGAAACTGTAAAATAGAAGTGATTTTGTTTGTTTGTTACAGTGTTACGCCTAAATCACTGATATAGAAAAATACTAGTAGAATAGATGATACAAAAAAAAATACGCAAGGGATGAGCTCAATTATACTTTTTGAAACTGAAATTATCAACATCTTTGGGAAACGAAGCCAATCTAGTTCCTTTAATTTTACTTTTAGGAAATTGAGTTCCAAAAGTGACAGTAACAAAAAGAATAGGATTGTCCCTAGGGAACTGCCGCACGGAGCACGTGTCCTCTGGCCCTAGGGTAAATACGTCATAGTCTATGAACATTATAAATATAACACCTATTCTGCCAAAAAAAAATATAGAGGTTTCTGCAGTATCGACTAACTACGCTTAAATTTGTACAAACCGTTTTCTAAAAACTTTGACTAATAATATTAATAAAATATTTCACACACGGCCGTCTGATTCCAAACAAGGCAGAGCCTGTACTATGGCAACCAGACTGCTGATAAACATACTTATATATGTCTAAATACATACAAATTATAGATAAAGTACACCCAGACACAGAACAAATAACCGTGCTCATCACACAATTATTTGTCCTGGGTAGGAATGGAACCCACGACCTCCGGCTTAGCAGTCAGGGTCTCTAACCACTAGACCAACAGGCCCGTCGATTAACTAATGAAGTCTTAGAAAACTTTTCCACAAATTTTATAGAAATAAAACAAGTACTTTCAGATTCATTAATACACGTACATATACACAGTAATTTACATACAGTAATTTAAAGAGGGAGATTCACAGCGGGGCTACGCACTTGTGTATCTTGCTGTTGCCTTGCAAGTGTTTATAGGCTATGGCAGTCTCAGCACTAACCATCAGGTGACCCGTCTGCTCGTCTGCCCCCATAAAACTGATACCATATAAAAAGTATGAAATATATAGAATGCAGTTCTTGCTTTTGTATAAAACTTTTTGAACTACATACATATATCTGGATAATCATCAGTTCACCTTTCGATATTTCATATAACAGTCGCGGCAGAAAACCCTTTTAATTGGTTATGAAATTTGATTTTATTTTTTTATGGACCAATCTAATTTAAATCGTATGTGTAATTGCGTATGACGCAGGCAAAGATGCATTTACTAATTAATTTATTAATGTACAAAATTTACACAACTAATATGCTAAGAATTAAAAACTAAACCAGAAGCTGTAATAATAAAAAGAAGACTAAATAAAGCTATATTGGGACTATACTTTACTGAAACTAAAACAAATGTTAGGATCATTAAAAATACACATATTTCGCAAATTAAAAAAATCATAACATTTCGTTCTTAGTCGGATCTTCAGATGTAGTTTGATTTCAATTAAATTTCAATGAAATCGCCACAAATATAAACAAAACACATAAAAACAAAAACCTTCTTAATTTATTTTACAAAAAAATTTGTTTAAAGCTATCTATTTTCGTATCAAAATATTTATATAAAAATCCGGCAAATATGTACGAGATTACTTTTAGACATTAAATTTAGGGCAACACTGATCGATTGCTTTAGTACAATATCATCAAGTCCAGGCACATCTGTGCCTGGAATTTATATTAAACCATCAGTCTAAACTCAAATGTTTACGATGTGAGTGCTATGAAAAAAGAAAATATACGGAAAATACAATATTTTAATAATATCACCGACTTCCATAGGGTATTGAAGTCGGTTACATAATGATAAATTGTATTCTCTCTTTAGTTCCATTCTTAGAAAAAAAAAACAAATCGGTTTCTAAATAATCGAGTTCTGCCGTAACAATCATAAAAATACAATCATATTAATAATATTTTCGGACATCTAACACACAACGCCATCTAGTTTCAAACTAAGCAGAGCTTCTACTATGAAATCTAGATTGACTGATATAATACTTAAATACATTTTTTTTTAATAAATACGTACATATTATACATAGGAAACACCAAAACAGATCATACAAACATTTCGCCCACCCCGGGAATGGAACCCGAGACTCAGCACAGCAGCCACATAAGCTACTACTGCACTACCGAGGCAGTAAATCATATTGAGAACCTCGTTTTTTTTAAACTGTTAAATAAACAACGATTAAATAAATTGGTCCAAATGATTGACGGGGTGTAAACAGGATACTGAAATGTTATTATTTTTTATGAGATCGTAAAATACGCGCCAATTCAATTTGACCCGTTTGAAGTTGCATTTTCTGAACAATTATGCAAACAGTGCAAAAAATTGCTGAAAAATGAATAAGAAAGTGTGTGAATTATATCACATCACAGCGATCAGTTTAGTATCATGTTAAATATAATATTTTGTCATATGTTACTAAGTACGTGAAAACTTTATTAACTTAAAATACTTATATTGTTTTAGTACTGAAAAATGTTCAATACAATAAATGCCTAATAATAATAAAGTTTACAAAAGTAATGGCTCTAAATTTCGGTCTGCTGTTAAAAACACAAACTAACATACTCTGGTGAAAAGCTTTGCTGTTATAACTTTGCTTACGACATATCGAAGGTTCTATATCTACCTATCTCTATATAATATCAAGCGGTACAGCTGTATAATAGGTTGCCTGAGGATATAAAGAGAGCGTGATATGCAGGTTCCTTTAAAATGACTATGACTATGGCTATGACTATGGTTAGATATAAAATTTGTCAGATATTCACATCAATATCGTTTTTTTAGAAAAAAAAGGATATGTTAGTAATTAATACGGTTAGTCCTTAATAACTTGAATTTTGTGTAAAATGATATAACGACTAATAACGATACAGACTTATTAAAAATTACTCGTGATCCGCTGCAATCCAGGACAACTGGATGGATATTTAGCGTACGTAGGATACCTAGATAGAGATCACTGCACTATTCTTTTTAGTTTTTGATACCACTATTTTTCCTTAAAAATAGTGGTTGTGGATACAAGGAAGTTCGGGCACTTGCTAAGTTTCTTCTCAGTTCTACTACGGCTAAGAGCTGTCTGCAGTTGTCTAAGAGCTGTGAGCATCTGTAGCATTTTTACAAACCACAGTGGTTTTCAAATGCACTATTATAATCAATAATTGTAAATTGCTTTGTAATATGTGAAATAAATAAAAAAAGGCTAGTATCGTATAGTATTATCGCTACTATTATCTATATTTAAATATATGGGCAACTGACTCCTTACAAAGCTAGAAATACCAATATACATACTGAAGTAAGCTTACTAAAACAACATATCTAAATTAAGTTGCAGAACGATAAAGTACCTACAAGGGGTAGTGCGGAGCACTAGGAAGGCAGTTTTTGTCCTCTTATCGGATCGAATGAACTGGCGACCGGGATCTATTGAAAATAAAAGAAAATTTATTAAAAAAAAAATGTATAAAATCTTTTACTAGAGCTGCATAAGTTGCTACTGATTGAATTAATTTTGTTTATTCAATTATATTTTAACCTAACGTAAATGACTTAGCTCTGAGATATACATATTTATATATAATATATAAAAGTGAGTTTGTTTGTTAGTTATGTTTTCATGCCTAAACCACTTATTTTTTTTTATATTTAAAAAATTCCTTCACAAACGCAATATGTAAATATTAACGAGTAACATAGGCTACTTTTTACTGCGATAACCGACACACACAACGCTAGTATTTCGCTAGAAACGACAAATTATGTATATATATATGTTTTAGTCGACTTAAAAATACTTTTTTATAACACGAACCTACTTTTTGAAAGGGATGAGTAGGTGAAAAGTAATATTCTTCAAAGTTTTACATAAAAATGTAAAGGAAATAAAATATTTCAAATGTAAAACAAAGTTACGAATTCAAACAATATGATTATTTCAACAATGCTGTTAAAATATTTGTTTCGAATAAAATGACAACAATTACAATGAGTTGGAAGCAGAATTCAGCATCTAGATAATGGTGCTAATTCTGTTGTTCGAAAACTCTCTAAACTAAACTAAAAATCATTAAAAACTAAAAAGTTTAGTCCTGTCAAAAACGTTTCTTATTCTGAAAATGTAGTACTTGACAGGACTAAACTATTTTTTTGTGATTTTTAGTTTTAGTCCGGTCAATTTAGACCAAAAAATGAGAGTGAAGTTACATAAAGTCCCAACAAGCTGAATTTCTGTGAAGTTGTTCAAAACATAATTACAAACAATGTCTAGAAGTTCCCCATCATTCCCCTGTAAGGAAAAAATTTAATTCAAGGTCAAAGGTCAAAAAAAATAGTTTTTCGCTATTTTCAGCAAAACTGTAAGTTTTATCATAAAAGTACCTCAGACAAAAATTGTAGATCATAAAATTATCTATAAAAAATGTTTCAATACTTTTTTTCTTTCGAGCCACCTGTCTGAGATATAACGATTCAAAAAGTTATAAAAGTTGTTATCGTCATAATATGCACACGTTTCCACGCCACCTATGAGGTAGTGTACTTAGCGCGTTTTTTTTAACGTAGTTTCCCCAGTAGGCCTACTCCACGGGTCAGTTGTGATCCTGTTTAATGTAAAACTATTGCAAAATAACGGCAATTTTCAAAGATTGGGAAAGATAAAAGCGATGTAAATGAAAAAAAAGTGTTGAAGTTTATTCGTCTTATTGTTAAGTTTCAAATTCTTGTTCTTCTTCTTGATCTTCTTCTTGTTCTTCTTCTCCTGCTTCTTCTTCATCTTCATTTTGGATGCAAGTAAATTGCGTCAATAGCGATGTATCGCATGATACTTCGTCGGAGTCAAACGAATCCTCCATTGTTTGTGATTCAATATTAGAGCACGACCGGCCTTGACAATTTGTGCATGCCAAAGAACAAGACAGTCCGACTTTTTTGCAACTACATTTAGCACTGCATCCCTTTTTGCAGTTGCAAAAAATAGTGTTCAGCAGTTTTTCCGGCGCAGGTGGAAGTAAAGTTTGAACTGGCTCTAATATATTGTTGACCAACTTCCAACCCCAGTCTGTAGGGTCAAGGGTAAGATCAAGAAGAAGAACAAGAATTTGAAACTTACGAATAAGACGAATAAACTTCAACACTTTTTTTTCATTTACATCGCTTTTATCTTTCCCAATCTTTGAAAATTTCCGTTATTTTGCAATAGTTTTACATTAAACAGGATCACAACTGACCCGTGGAGTAGGCCTACTGGGGAAACTACAATTTTTGTCTGAGGTACTTTTATGATAAAACTTACAGTTTTGCTGAAAATCGCGAAAAACTAATTTTTTTGACCTTTGACCTTGAATTAAATTTTTTCCTTACAGGGGAATGATGGGGAACTTCTAGACATTGTTTGTAATTATGTTTTGAACAACTTCACAGAAATTCAGCTTGTTGGGACTTTATGTAACTTCGAATGTCTAAATTGACCGGACTATTTAGAGAGTTTTCGAACTACAGAATTAGCAACAATGTCATGATGTTTATTTCATTTTAGTAATCAATTTTCACCCACTTTTTTCCCAAACTAGGTTGGGGTCGGCTTTAAATTTGCTACGATACGGCTAAGTTAGAATGTCGATCAGACCTCCACAACCCAAGTACTAGGCGATATCGAAGTTCTGTAAAAAAAATATTGCCGGAAGGGTCTCGATGTGTTAAGAATTGTCACCCATCCATAGACTTCATGAGTTCTCCATAAACAAAAGATAGAAGCGGTGTTATTGTCATAAAGTTATTGATAGATATACATAGTGTAATTTTGCAGTGCGAATGGTGTGAAACATTTGATATTCGGCTAATAGTAGGGGAGTCCTAGAAGGGATTTCGGGATTTACTCGAGAGTGGCAGATTAACATAAGGAGAAATACACCTTACACTCAGTTGAGTACCTCCACTATACATGAGCATAGGGCATCAGATTAGTTTAAAAAAATTATCGATGGGCAGAAATACTCGAGCGTGTAAGATTAAGGTAAGTTGAGTCAAATACATACACATTAGTGCGTATTAAAAAATTCTGACGATTTGAGATAAGGCAGTGGGAGGGTCACAAAGTTTCAGAAAAAACACATGACCTTGGCTTTTTTTTTATTTTGAAGCAAACAACGCAAGAAATCTTCTTTAAATGTCTACATAACTTTTCATTTGTCATATTGTATAAAAATAAAAATATTTCTAACCATCAGATTAGATTAGGAATTAGGATTTTTTATTTACTTTAAAATGAAGGTAATAAACTGAAACGATTTTTACGTGAGTGTTGATATTGGAAGAGCTATAAATGTATTATAAGCCACTTACATGAAGGACTGACGTTGATGTAACGTACTTAATGACATAGCCCATAGCTAATCTATGTACATAAAAGCTAAAGCTGTCTTGCTCTCATACTTGGTACTGATTAAACACAAAATGTGGAAGACTGCTTTACATAATGAAGATAAAAATTAGCAGTGTGAAACTTTTAAGGAGGAAAAGGAGATTAAAACACCTGAGAGCCCTCGCAATTTTATATAAAAGTCCTTAGAATTTTCAGCTACTATAGCAAGGACGTAAGATCAAAATAGAATTTACGTCAATAGGTTTAAGGGAATTTAATTAATCCTTTTTATCATTTTACTTAAAAGTTCTTCATATTTGTTAATAGAAATATAATTGATTGAATTATTTAAAATGTTACAAATGAGAAAGTAGAGTTGTAAGATATCTCTTCTCAGGGATGGATTCGCTCTTCTTCACATCAAATCATATCACATCAACAGCCTTTAACAGTCCACTGCTGGACATAGACCTCTCCTTAGAAAGGAGGTTTTGGCCTATTATACCACGCTGGCCATACGGGTTGGTATAGGATTTGTGTCAAGTTTTCCTTCTTCTCTCTTCTTAGTTGGTCAAAATATATGTTCTTTTGCGTAGTCTATTTCCATCGAATCAAAAACCAGATTATTTTGAAGACATGTATTTGTCAGGTACTCCTACCTGTCAAGTACAAACCACATGCCTTATAAGTCCTCCAATTTAAATTTGGTTCAGAAACTTTTTGTATTTTTATCACTGCGTTTAATTATACTGTTTCACTAGCTTTTGCCCGTGGCTTCGCCCGTGTGTATGTCGGTCATCGCGGTAAAAATTAGCTTTTATCCTTCCTTAGGGATCAATGTATCTCCATAACAAATGAAATTGAAATTGGTTCAACGGTTTAGCCATGAATTCGTAACAGACAGACACACAGAGTTACTTTCACATTTATAATATTAGTCGGAATATTTAAAAATTAGATGTTTTGGAACGAAGTTCCTTATCGCGCGTTGTGAAAGGGGGCTAGACGGAAAAAAATCTCACGAAAAGTTGTAACGACACTTTTGATTTTGAATTGTCACTTGTCAGTCATTCAGCACCTTCTATCAAATATATAGGAAATCATTACTTTTCATCTCAGTAAAATTAAAAATTTTATGTTCTTAGGTTGAGCAAAAAATATTGTATTCGACATCATTTCTCAAGGAGATTTTACCAATGTATAAATTGTTTTAATTAGAAACCAACTGAAAAATATGTAGGTAATAGATGGCGTTGTAATTAAAATCGTGTCGAATCAGTTTTACTCGATCGTCCCAACTTCGTTCCTATCGGGTGTCCCACGACACCACACGGCTTTTTTGTATCTAAAAGTTTACATATTTATAATATAGCCAACTTTATATATATATATATATATATATACTTTACATATACTCTGAAAGCTGTCGACTATCCATACGTCTATCGGTCTTTTAAACATGTTCAAAAATTGAGTTCTTTTAATTATTATTGCTTATTTTTTAAAACTAGCGAGTTTTAATGGATAATTCCCTTAAAATTGTGCCACTAAACAAATGCCGCAAACAGCCTTATATAAAAGTCGGGCGTAAGAAAGAGCATAGAGCGAAAATTCGATAAATTTGAAATAGCTGTCATGCGTCGTTTGGAAATCCTGAGGTGGCTCTAGTGTTGCGCTAACCATTATCGATTTATCGGTTATCTACACTTTGTAGTTCTACTGTTACAGAATCATTTGGATAGAAAAAGCATTTATAAATTTAATATTATTACATATTACATGCACTGTCCGAACATATTCGTGTAGGTATACAGGAACAAAATGTAAATTTTAAAATATTAGTGCGAGTTGCCCGTCTGGTTATGTTTTGCAATTTTATTTCTTTTGAGTTTATTCCTTAAGAATTGATTTCCATATAAGGCGCCCGGTATGAAAGAAATATGAAGATTTACATTTAAAGAATTTGATTTTTGTAAAAAATAAATACTCTTTTTTTTTAAATAACTAAATTTCCACATTTGGTCCGTATTTTTTTAATGATATAATAAGTTAGCCATCACAAATT